TTCTCCATCGTACTCGTTGCACCGAAGTATCATGTGTGCTACTGTCTCGGGTCCGCATCCTCGTGCACAGAGGGCTGAGATAACTTCCGGGACCTATTTTTATTTTTATAATGAACTGGGCCTCAGTCCGGGCGGAGGGGAATCTTTGAAGATATCTTTCAGGGCCCGAGAAGCCTTCATTCCGGCCAGAAGCTTTTGGATGTGATACCGGAGCTGCAGGAGGAAAAAATTTGGTAAAGGTAAATTGGTGCTGTCCGCGGTCTCCAATATGAATACATCCCCATGTTGGATGCAGGGGTACATGGTTTCCTCGCCGATTGTTATTCCGCGTCGGAAATCCACAATACTGCCTAGACCGGCATGATCGCGTTCTCCTTTTTTCCAATCCATGTTGACGGCGGACATTTTCTAACCAAATAACTTGGATATAAAGCACGTTTGAGTTATCGGGATCCCGAATTGGCCTGAATGTAAACCGATGGTTATCAAAAAGGGTATGGACCTCTGCGCGGAGAACTAACAGATTATCGTGAGCGCCTTCCTTGACCCTCAAACTATTGAGTTTTTCAAGCGGCCAAAATATCCTCAAGAGATTCCAATCTTTAAAGCTCCCTCTTGTTGATCCAGTTTGTAGACAACACAACAGTCTAGAATATGGCACCCTTCCAGTCCCTCCTTAGCACCAGATAAGATACATCCGTTGTAAAAATCTTTGATAACTCTCTATGCACGTTTATCTGCTCCGGAACGTTATTTTGATTTTGGCGGGGTTTCACTCGGAGGGTTTGGTTTTAGACGTTTTGTAGTGTGTTTTGTATCGTTGGTGTTTTTGTCCCCCGCGAAGCCGTTAGCATCATCTTCTGAACCCGTTTCCCACTCCTCTAACAATTCAAGAATATGAGAGCAGAAGTATTTGCATTTCAAATGAATTGCATCCTCTTCAAACTGATATATAGCTTCCGGCCCCAATTCGTCTGTGAGCTTTACCACGTCATTGTTGGATATCACATCGGCAATGTCTTCGGAAACCTCTGTAGAAAAGGACTTGAATGTGTGGGATGTTGGATCATTGATAACCGTTAGTATGGCGTGGCATGTCATAATCTGTTCCTGTTGTTGGGTGTGGCTGAGGGTCCGAGTATCCTTTGAACCTATTTGTCCCTATTTTCTTTGATCAGGTCTTTTAAGACGCTCTCAATTCTTTTTCTAAAAGCCTCGGTTCTTGATGTTTGCCTCGGATCAATAGGCTTATTAAGGACGAATAAGTAGAATCTGTTGATGAGGTTGGCAAAGCTGGAGGAGCTGGAGGAGCTGATGAAGCTGAGGCTTGGGCGCGCAGGGAGGCTGAGAAAACTTGGAGGCCCGGGGAGGGCAGGGAAGCTGGAGAAGTTGACGAAGCTAAGGGAGCCCGAACTCCTTCCGGCAATCGTTGAATTCTTCCGTAGGGATTCCTAATTCGTCGACATAATGCTTACTCGAGTTAATATGAGTTTGATCATATGGGGAACATACAATAATACTCACTCTCTTCCCTCATTATAAATAATAACAGGAAATTCTGGAATCGGTATAGTCGTTTTAATACAATTGAACAAACAGAAAATGGGCAAATAACAACAATACTATTCTGTTGGACCCAAGCAAAGAAGGCTGTGGAAAGTTATGTGTATTGGTGGGTATGGTGTAGGAGAGAGGAAGAAAGGCGAGGTCTGGAAGAGAGGGAAGAGGTGGGCTGTAGTGCACAGACCACATGGAACCACATATTCTTTTACAGAAAAAAGAAAAGGAAGGATTAAATAAAGAACCTAAAATCAATCCGGTATTATGCGGTATTATATAGGATTAAAAAGTTGAATAAGGCGGGGAGGGAGAAGGCAATTCCGTTGATAGGGAGTATAGAAGAAGGTTATGGCATTAAAAATGGTTAATTAGATTAAGAAGCTCAAAAAAAATCCAAAAATTCCGTAAACGCTCAGTATAAGTAGAGAGTACCTCCTGATAGATTCTCCATCATGTCAATCACGTCATATCAAACCTTCACCCACCGCTCAACGCCACTCACAAACTCCACCTCAACCCACCCACTTACTCAGTGCCCTCGATGGGTATTTAAACTCGGAAATGGTCCTTCCAACCCATCAAATACTCTCACCAACAGTCCTCGTAGCGTAGTGGTCAGCACTTGATGCTTAAGCGTTTAATTTACACCCAGCGAACGCTGCTTTGGCAGCGAGAGACGTCGGTTCGAACCCGACCGGGGATACTTCTTTTTTTTTTTCCTTCTTCAAACACCCCCCGCCATCCATACTCTGTTTAATCATCAGCCTCTTAGGTCTTAACCTTCAACTATTATATGTTCTTATTTAGCATTATCACCATCACGGCCTTCATCATCTTGACAAATAGAACTCAAAATATATATATCTACCACACCCATTCATATATAACATCAACAATTTACATCACAACAACCTACACCGAGTTTTCATACCATCATAGACCCTCCCCTTCAAACAACAGGCGTCTTCTTGGCCTCCTCAATAATATCCTCCGCAGCCTTAACACTAATCATCATGGTCGGACAAGAAGGAAACGCCCCCGGTACAACAGGGAAAACACTGGCATCCACAACCCTCAACCCTTCAACCCCGTAAACCCTAAATTTGGAATCCACAACCGCCATTTCTTCCTTTTCACCTCCAATAGCACAAGTACTTGTGGCATGATGGCTATACGCTTGAGTTTTATAATACTCTTTCTCTACTTCATCCCCGCATCCTTCTGTGCCCAACGGTCCCTTACAAGGATGTTTCTCCTCGAATGGTCCGACAAAGGTATCAGAGGCGGACGCAATAGCTTTTCTGAGGAGTTTGCCCGCCTCTACCAGTTCTGAAAGATCCTGATCACCGTTTCTCTTGAAGAAGTTGAAATTGATGTCTGGAGTGTCTCTGGGGTCGGAAGAACGGAGAAGGACGGTTCCGGCTTGGGACTTCGGTTGCATGTGTACCATGGCGCAGGTATATTGAGTAGGTCCATGCCAAGTAGGGAAACCGGGCCAAAATCCCTCGAAACTAAAGGCTCCGCACCAGGTGTAGATGTTACGACGATTATCAGGTGCGTTGGGGGTTCTGAAGAGCAAAGTGATGAGGCCTGATTCGACCGGGTATTCGGATTGACCTATTGCTAAGAGGGATCCTTCGTAGTTGTCGCCTAGGTTCTCGCCAACTCCTGGGAGATCTTTGATCAAGGGAATGTTGAATTTTGCTAGTTCGGCGGCGGGACCGATTCCGGAGAGTTTGAGGAGTTGAGGGGAGTTGAAAGCTCCTCCCGAAATAATGATTTCACGTTTGGCAAAGATTTGGGTTGTTGGGGGGAGGTCTGAGGCTTCTCGGTCGTGCTTGGGGTCTGCGCGGTAGAGGGAGGGACCGGTGATGACTTCTACTCCTATTGCCCGGGGTTTGGTGGAATTGTCAAAGAGAACGCGGGTGACGAGGGTATGAAGCTGGACTGTGAGAGGATAATTGGCTGGATCGGCCAGGGTGGCGCGAATATAGTTGTTTGGACTGTTTCTTTTGCCCTTTGAGTCGGAGTGGGTTGCCATGTTGTAAAAGGATTGCTTCTCGTCTACGTTGGGAACATTCTCAAGGAGATCAGAGTTTACGAGGTTGGCAACGTCGTTGGGATCTTGGCCTGTGAGGGAGGCGAGGGTTTTGAGGATTTTGAGAGCTGGAAGGGACGAGTTTTGAGCCCAGGAGGCGTCTCCTACTGTTGTTGCGAGCCAGCCGTCATAGCCACGGTCTGGGTTGCCGGCGGCGAGATACTCGTTTCTCTCAATCTTCTTGAGGTATTTTCTCATGTTGTCTGCGGACCAGCTGGTGTCTCCAGTCTTGTTGACGATAATGTTCCAGTCGTCATCTGCCGGGAGTGCACAAACGGCGGCATTGTGCATGGCGCAACCACCTAGAACGGCAGCTCTGGGATATTGGATACCGAGATGTTTGGCTCCCTCGGGAGGGTCGAGACCGACGTAAAAGGTGCCATCGCCTGTATCCCAGGTCGTGTGCTCAAACTTGAGCTCCCGGGCGGGATCGTCAGAGTGCTTGACCCAGAAATCCCAACGAGTGGCCTCATCGTTGGCGGCTTCGTTAAAGTTCTGAATGTCGGCATATGTCGGATTGTCTCCTTCATCGCCACCTGCTTCGAGCAACAGAGTCGAGTATCCGGCTCTGGCGAGCTCGGCAGCGAGGGGACCACCACCTGGACCACTGCCAACAACGATGTAATCGTATGAGGCAGCAGCTGGGGCTCCCTCTGCTAATCTGGTGACAGCAGAGAGGACAAGAGCTGACAGTAGACGGTAACGCATTATGGCGGTGGTGAATAAGGGTGAAGAGAACCGGGGACTCGGAAAAGGAGAAGTTCTCCTGAACATATAAACATCTCCAACGGCAATAAATCTATCGAGCCATCGTGCCGGATATTGAGGGGTCCTTACTCCAACACATCTCCAAGGGGCGGTTAATAAATTAATTGTTCCTCGTGGCTAATCTTTTGCCATGTGCGGAGAAATATATATCGTTCCATCTGAATAGACAATTAGGCGACGGTTATTGTCTTGGCAACGGTTCCGGATAGCCAGAAAAGAAGGAGTAGCAGTGATGTATTATCCGTTGTGACCCTTGCATCAGAACAATATACCGGAGGCTCTTCCAGACCATGGTCCAACGGGTCGGATTTGTGAATAGACCCGCTCGGACTTGTTGAGAATACTACTGTTGGCGGCAGAGGTTCCGACTCATATGGTTAACAACTGGTTGTACGACGTGAGATACTGGCTACCATGATGGTGATGAGTAAATAATGCATAGAGTTACATTTAGCGTAAACTGGTGGCAATATGGTATGACACTACAAAAGATCAGCATCAACTGGACTCTGGAAGAACTGGGACGGCGCCTCACCACCACTGGAAAATATTCATGGAGGCAAGCCCCCAAGCCCCAAGTCCTCGCTTCGCTCGATGATCCATTATTCCTCAGGTAAAACCACCTTTGGATCCAACCCAATCTCCCCCACTAACCTCCTAACCACCCCCTTCAAAGCCTTGCAAGCCGGGCTGTCAGGAAACGAGTCAAAGAAACTCTCCCCATAATCACAAGCCATCCCTAACCTAGGATCCAACGGCACCGATCCCAAAAACGGAATGCCCATCTCCTCAGCCAACCCTTTGCCTCCTCCCGTAGTAGCCTTGAATATCTGACTTTCAAACTGACAATGTCCACAAACAAACATGCTCATATTCTCAACCAAACCCAATATTCTTATCCCAGCCTTTTTGCAGAAATCAATTTCTTTCCTCACATCCAACAACGAAACCTCTTGAGGAGTAGTAACAACCACTGCTCCTTCAATTTTGCTCTCCTTCAAAAAGGTGTTGACGCTTAGATGCTCATCACTCGTTCCCGGTGGTGTATCCACCAACAAGAAATCCAAATGACCCCAATCAACATCTTTTAAAAATTGTTTGATCAGTCCATTCTTTTTTGGTCCCCTCCAAATGATGGCGTCGTCCCTGTTGGGAAGCATAAACTGAATACTCATGACACCCAAATTATCCATTGCCCAAACGGGTGACCACCCGGAACTGCTGGTGTGAATAGTTTCTGTTTCCACTCCAAGCATTTTAGGTATGCTAGGACCACAGATATCCGTATCCATGACTCCAACTGTGCTATCTGGATTGGTGGCAAATGCCTGAGCGAGTTGTGCAGTGAGGGTTGATTTACCTACCCCTCCTTTTCCGCTCAAGATTAAAATTTTGTGTTTAACATTTTCGAGACGTTCAGTGATGATTCGTATGTCTGGATCAGGACCTTTTGGGGTTGCTGAGGCGCATATTTGTTGGTTTGGACATCCGGCGCATGAGTCTGCTTTGCCTGCTTGCTCCGATTCTGGACCGGGACAGTGTTCTGGTTCCGGGGCGACGAGGGATGGTTTTTCTTCGAGTGGGTTGGCGAGGACGTCCTCTACTGCTTCTAGGGTTTCCAGTGATGGGGCCATTTTTGAAAAGATATTTTAAAAGACGAAAAGAAGAAAAAAAAAATTGAAAATGAAAAGATGCTGATAAATCGTTCGGCCCCTCCAACTTGACGATACCGGTAGCGGGGCATTCATTCGCTCAACTTTATAAGTGGGGCGTGGGGTCGTCATCCGTACCTACCAGGTACTTTCGTTTGTCTCCGTCAACTTTCTGTCCACCTTTTTATTATCATCGCCATCGCATTCGCAGAGCAATTGACACTTGCGCAAACAACCTCCAGCCAGCGCACACAAGCCAGATAATCATCCAATTTGTCCTTCAAAATGTCTCCAACACCACCAACCCTGCCAAACAATCCATCCTCCAAACTCCCTCCTCTCTCAAAAAGTCTGTCCAACCGTTCCGGCATGTTGGCTCCACAGTCCATACAAAATATTCGTGCGATTGAGGTACCTATCCTTAAAAAGCTTACTGACAGACTTCTTAGCCCACAAAATCCACAAACCCCCCCTCCCTCCCACCACCATCAACCCGCTCCCTCAACCCTCGTCCTCCTCCCCCCCATACCACACCAGATAAATCCGGCTACCTCCATCCCCCTCGCCTCCCGTCAACAATAATAATCAAAGTTTCTTCTTCCGCTTCTTTTGTTTCGCTACTGAAACGAGCTAGAAAGGCCTTGGATAAAGCCAACACTGCCAAAAACAAAAATCCAAGAAGAAATACTGGAAACGGAATAATAGAAGACGCGCAAGATGATGTAGTGATGATAGCTACTGGGAAGGCTATAGAAAAAGCTGTAGAGGTTGGGGTTGTGTTGGGGAGGGAAGGAAAAGGGGACTTGGTTGTTGTGGCGAGGACGAGGCGTTTGGATGTTGTTGATGTTGTTGATGAGGTTGTGGAGGATGAGGATAGGGAGGAAGGGGAAGAAGAAAGGAGGGTGAGGGGTGTTAGTTGTTTGGAGGTTGGGGTTAGGTGGGTTAGATGAAGGAGGAAGGAATTGCGAGGAAAGAAGGAGCAGGTCATCTGCATATTGTCTGTAAAAAAAGAGGGAGGTCATTATATCAGAAAAAGGACACTTACATTTAATGGAGTTTTGGGGAGGTTGGGAAAGGGGGTATCTGGCGTTCATGGTGGCTTAAAAAGGTCTGGATTTGATTTGGGTTATTGGTTTGAGGAAACATATACCCGTTTATGACCCAAAAACTGAGGAGGATATCATT